TTGAAAGAAGTCTTAGACGAAACCTTAGGGAATCTTCTAGCGTAAGAGAACTTGAAACTGAATTTAACACAATGGCTGAAAATGTAGGAAATGTCAGAAATGAGGGAATTAATAATGATAGGGCCGAAATTCCAAATGTAGAGCCAATGACTCTCAGAGACCATTTCATCCCTACCACCTATGTTTCACCCTCATGCATAGTGATGCTAAACATCGATGCGGCTCAATATGAGATCAAATTAAGTACCATTCAAATGCTTCCATCTTTCCATGGCTTTGATAATGAAGATCCATATAAACATCTTGATGAGTTCCTTGAGATTTGTTCAACCATCAGGTTGCACGGTTTCCCTGAAATGCACTCCATTTGCATCTTTTCCCATTTTCCTTAAAAGATAGGGCAAAGTATTGGTTGAACTCCCTTGCTGCAAATTCCATCACTTCTTGGGCTCAATTTCTATGATGCGGCAGTGCTACCTACAACGATGATTAGGATAAGCTATGTTTTTAATGACTCTTATACCTTGAAAATTTCAAGTGGGGTATGGTAGGATACTTTTAATAATAAGTCACCTATATGAGTGTGAAATGGGGCCGCTTCTATGAGAACGTCTAAGGCTAAGTTTTCAAGAGCACTCACGAAATACCAATAATTGTGCAGGGCCATATGAATATAACCATGAGAATCGACTTTGTACAGGAAGGAACTGTGTGTTTGCTATTATTTTGGTTTACATCAACGGTTGAAAAGTTCAAAACATCATATTCACTGGTTAGCTAGTAAATCCGATAGTAATACACAAGGGAAGGTTCAAGGCCAAAAACTACCTATCTTGATGCAGTAACTTTCCAATAGTACCATATCTAGTGTCTACATTTTCATCATTTGCAATTGATGCAAATTTTCATTCATGTGGGGGATTGTTGGAAATAAGGCATACAAAATCGAACTTTGGATGAAATTTAGAATAGATTTCGCTAAAAGTTTTTTTGCAGATCTATAGACGAACGCGTTCCTCTCCGCAGGGAGATGAATGTGGTATATTTACTTTCTCAAATCCATTTTAGGGTGAATGAGAAATTAGCTCCAAAGTGAGGTGTTTGATAAGCCTAAATGGGCTTACAAAATGTGGGAAGTGTTTATCCCACATGGAAAAAATGTTAAAACCATTTGGAGTTTAAATAAGCCAAGTATGAGATTTGGGTTTGGGCTAAAAGGCACCCAAGTTTTTAAGAGGGGGAGGACCTGGGCAAGCTTGGGTTCAAACCATCTACCACACACGCGCGCACCCGGCCCTTCCGGTCCGGTCTGGGCTGGGGCTGGGCTTGATTGTAAAATTTAAACAAAAATGGGTCTGTATTAGATTTTATTTTAATCTTTGCTTGCTTTATTCAAGATGGGCGAAATTGGGCCTGTGGTTTAGGATTTTGGCTGGGCTTTAGATGGGTTTCATAAAACAGTTTTTCTGGTATTTTGAATTTAAATTAAAAAACCAGAAAATAGTTTTATAGTTTGTTTCCAAAGGGTACACCTGGTTCTGAACCATCACAACCCATGGTTGCACCCATCCTAACAGGTACCTAGCCTATATAAACCCCCCTTGGGTTCATTTTCTAAGCACACCAAAATCCAGAATCTTTCTTTTCTAATTTGTATTTTCTCATCTTCTCTCATCTTGCATACAGAGCCTTAGTATGTGGGTTCGGGTTTTAATCTTCTGGGTTCGAGCCTTAGTCTGTGGGTTCGAGCCATAGTCAGCGAGTTCAAGTCCTACTTTGAGTCAGAGAGTACTACACCGAGCCGGATCGCCTATTTCTTCGGTTTGCAGTGCTACTACCGAAAAAAGTCAAGTTGTTGTATCCTAGGAGATAGACGCCACTGAATCCGTTAGCACCATAGCGGGGTGAATCTGTCTTAAGGATATAGAATCAAATTCTAACCTCGACTTTTAATCAGGTTTTTTCATTTTATAGTTTTTATTTAATTTTATTATATTAAACTAATAATAATTATATATCTATATAATCATTATATTTTTACATAATATTTAAAGAAATAATACTGTAGTATATTGTATAATTAGACCATATTTTGGACTACATGCACTTCTTCCTTCGGATGCTCGTTGCTCCCTTCCATTGGAGTGGGGAAGTGCTGGCCTGTCTCCCATGACTACAATAAACTTGGCGTGTTTTAATAAGTGCGCTCCGTGAGTTTTTTTTACGCCGTTTTTGTTTTTGTTCGGCTAAATCTGCTCCATGAGTGGATCTGTTTTGTTTTTCTTCAATTAGATCTCTTATTTAGGTCGGTTTTGATTGGTTCCCGCCTAGATCTAATCTTTTTTCTCATTGATTTGATCTTGTGCGGGGTTTTGGGTGGTCTTCCCTTGTCGAAACGCCTTGTGATTGTAGCTTTGGAGTTATTGCCTTAATGATGGCCTGACCTTTGTGTTACTCATGTTGCTACATTTCTTCTTTGGTGGTTTCCATTGCGTTTCTCCACAAATCTAGAGGCCTGATCTTCAATTTTTATTTTATTTTTTTTTTTGTTTCAAGATTTGTATGTTTATTCTAGCTTGGCTTTTTTTGCCTTGTATTGTCTTTATGGCTTGGCTTTGTGCCTTTGAAATGACAAAAAAAAAAAAAAAAAAACTTTGAAATGACAAAAAAAAAAAAAAAAAAAAAAAAAAAAAAAAAAAAAAACTTAGAAAGGCGTCTCAAAAATTCCGGGATAGAGAAAAATATGGTTATTACTTATTACTTCCTATTATTCAAATATATTCTAGTGCAATGGATACTAAGTTAGACCACTATCCAATATTTTGCCCGTTAAAATTTCAAAATTGAATCTGTTTTGAACCATTCTCAATCAAGAACCAGGATTGATTGTAGCCCAGTCAGGCCTATAATTGAAATCAATCACTAGCCCGGATCCCGGCTCGAAGATAAAGTGTAATGGCCTTTTTCTTTCAACCTGTGGCCTGGGCCTTAGTTTCGTAAAATTTGGACTTAGTGCATGAGTAGCCCAATAGGCCTGTTCCTGACCTACAATGTTTTAGTAGCTTTAGATACTAAAGGTTAGTTGATTAAAACTGACTCTGATAGGAGAAAAAAAACAAAAAACTGACTCTGATAACTCTCTTTGGTCAACTGTGGGTAAAAGAGTAAGAGCAATCTCGAATTAAATTTTATAGAGACTATTGCAAATGTACACAATTATTCAGGGAAAAAAAAAAAGTACACAATTGTGGGGCTCAAGTGTTTTTTATTTATTTATATATTTTTATGTTATTTCTAATCCCATTAGAATATGAATTTAAAGGGCTTCAATAATTTAAGTTTGGGTGTTTTAAATGACATGAAAGCATGACGAAAGAATGAAGTCAATAACTACAAATAAGAAATAAGAAGACAATGCTTTAAGAATGCAGACGCCGTTTAGATTGTGAACAATAAGAAACCGTTATCTTGAATGTTTTTTTTTTTTTTTCTTAAGCTAGATTCAGTATTTTGTGTATATTCTTGCATTCTGCAACAATTTTGTTTCTTTCGTTTAAATATCTTTAACATATCATTGACTATGTAATTCTATTAATCCAATATTTTTCAATATTCAAATTATGCATCAATATATTTGTGTGGTAATGGCTAAACTCAACAGCATGAAATTTATTATATCATATTTGCATTTTCAGTTAATTTGTTTCAACTCACAAAATGTTTTCTTTCCTTTTACTCTTTTACCCCTATTCCTATTTCCATGCAATTTGTAGGTATGAGTCAAATTTTATCCAGAAAATCGTCAAAGATGTTGGAAACAAATTGAATCGTACAATGTTGAGTGTTTGTTTTACTCAATAGGATTAGATTCTCATATAAATGATATTAATTTGTGATTACAAGATGGATCTAATGAAGTTGGGATAATATTAATATGTGGGATGTCTATAATAGGGAAGACAACTATTGCAAAAATTGTGTATAACGTGAATTTTGACATATTTGAAGGTAGCAGTTTTCGTGTAAAGGTAAGAGAAAGATCAAAAGAATCCAGTGGTCGAGTTCGCTTAAAAAAAAAAAAAAAAAAAATTGGCTATGTTGACGAAGGAATCACAAAGATAGAAAATCCTATTTGCTGCAAAAGAATATTACTTGTTCTTAATGATGTGGATGAACAGGACCAACTAAATGCCATACTCACAAAGAGGACTTGGTTTCGGCAAGGAAGTAAAATTATCATAACAACTGCAAATGAGCAATTGCTGAGGCACATGAACTATACAAGAAGTACGGAGTTGAGCAATTAATTGATGATGAATCATTTCATCTCTTCAGTTGGCATGCCTTTGGTTAGGACCACCCCGAGGTTACATGGAGCTTACAAAAAGGGTTGTAAATTATTGTGGAGGGCTTCCGTTAGCTCTTGAAATCTTGGGTAAAAACTATGCCAAACAAGGGATAAGACTTTGTTTCAAAAGAGTTTTCATACTGTACTTTGTGGAAGTGCTTGAATTGATCAAATGACGAGCTTTTGAAGGTTCTTTTTAAATTCTTTTCATCAAAGTTGATAAGAAAAATTCTTACACTGAAGGTTTCAATTTGAATAACTTTGAGGAACAGTGAAACTAAAAGAAGGGAAACTAAAAATCCCTCTACTTTTGCAGTATTCTTAATCTCAATGTTCAAGTAACATCCAATCTTTATTTGCTTCAATTCGGATGAAATTAAGAATATGGATAAATGGTAAGATTGGTATTTATATAGTTTTTGGTTATCTGTTTTCTGTAACACCCAAAATTTGATTCATGCTACCTAGAGGGTTTAATCATAAAAAGGACTTTTGCTGCCGAGACTGGTGGATCATTGGTGTGAACAGTATGTGATATTAATAATTGAGATTATATGCTCAAATAGTGGTTGACTTGACAAGAGGGCTTTTTCAATAAAATTTTCCTTGGTGGACCCCACTCCCATCATTTATTTCCTCTTCCCTAATTATCATCACCTGACAGTGAGACTCTTTCCTCTCTATTTGGCTCACACTACATTCTCTTCTCCTTTGTCTGATCGTCAATCTATGAAGTGGCCAATCCAACTGCTGGAGGGATTTTTCTTGGGAAATTACAGGTAATTTTCCTTTTACTACCTTTGGATGTCACCTATCTCTCACAATCCAATGCCCTTCTTTTCTTTCTGAAAGCTTTGCCCTCTTTCTCTATAAGAGTACTATGAATCTGTCAATAAAAATAGAAGAAACTATCCAAGTAATATATGCATTTATGTAATGATCTCTTCCTTCTTGTTGAGTTGACCCATGTGAATGACTTGTAAGATCAGTTGTCTCTCTTTCTCATATCAGATTAGTCGCACCTTAATTAGTTATTCTTGTTTTACTTTCTTATTACAGTTGATTCATGTATTGATTGACGAACGATGAAAGGCGCAACAGATCAGGTTAGTCACACCAATAACACCATATCAGATTAGACCTAAACAAAGCATTGTTTGGTTACCCAATTGCAATTTTAATCTCTCTGTGAAGTGATCAATCATCTAATACTGGAAAGGATCTTTCTTCCTCAATTACAGGTAACAATTTTCACCTTTGAAAGACCCATTGTTCATTCTCCAATGCTAAATATCGCTCAAAATAGGAATGAATATAAGATGATTTAATTTGTAGGGCTCCACTATTAATACATGCTATTGGTTAGGCCTAAGAATATAAGATGGATTATGTGTATTCAGAGGCCTTGTGTTGATACATACTATTGGATGGTATTGAAACATACTCAAGGGGACCCTGGTTGAGTTGAGCCATGTTGATGACTTCTTAGATCGGTTCTCTCCCTATTTGAGCATATAATCCCTATTTGAGCATATAATCTCAATTATTTTCATGCGGGGTTAATCTCTTTCTGTTCGCATGGATTAGTTGACACTTAAAAAAATGCAAAAAAGAACACAATAAAGATACGAACAGAGTTAAATAACTGAAAAGTTTTACTCCAGAAAATGGAAATAAACGAAGAATCCAATCTCCTCTTACTGGAAAATGACAAGCAAATAAGAAAAAGGTGGACATCTGTCTCCATAATCAAAATTTGCAAATTCCTCAACAAAATTTCACTATTTTTTCACTTTTTGGGTTAAGAAGTGTCCCACCAGAAATTGCAAGTAAGCTTCGTTCAGTGGATGGATGCACCTATATATGCTTCTTGCCTTTTCCTCCCTTCTTTTTCTACCATTTCAAACTTTACCCTCTTTTATCTTGCTCACTACTCTCTCTCTCCCCCCTCTCTTCTTCAGTTAACAGGTGACCATTTTTTACCTTTGAAAAACCCATTGCTCATTGTCACTAGTTGGTTAATTCTATGAATCTTTCATACCAATAAATTTATTACAGGTAATGTCTCTCTTTTCTCTTGGTGTATATGCTTTGAAAGATCTAAGGTCAAGAAAAACCAATAAGAATTTTTTTTACATAGGATTCATTATTTAATTGGTGGGAAGCTTGAAGATGATGTTGATTATGTCAAGGAGTAGTGCTTCTAATGACCAAATAATTGAGGCAAAATTTTGTTAAGTTATTGGGTTAAGCTAAAATCTTTGTGAAGCCAATTTAAAGCATTTGTATTTGTCTGCACTTTTTGTTATTTGTGTTTTCCATTCAACTCTTGCTCCATGTAGAATTTATTAAACTATTTATTTTTGTAGCATTTTCCTAATGTAGGAAATATATATAGGACTTAATTAATTTTACTTATTTCAGTACATAATATTGTTTAGTTATTGACATATCATATATACAAATATTGGTTGTGAATATACAGATTGTGTATAGCACTTGTTCGTTGATCTCCTTGATCTTTGTTTGATGGCTGCTATGGCATCCTTAGAAGCCTCCTCAACTCGGTGTTCTTATCAAGTTTTCTTGAGTTTCAGAGGCAAGGACACTCGGAAGACCTTTACCGATCACCTTTATAGAGCTCTGCTAAATGCAGGAATACACACATTTAGGGATGATGATGAACTTGAGAGAGGAGATGATATCTCCTCAAGACTAATAAAAGCAATCGAAGAGTCGAGGGTTTCAATAATTGTCTTCTCAAAAGACTATGCATTTTCAACATGGTGCCTTGATGAACTTCTAAAGGTCCTTGAACGCAAGAAGAGTGTTGGTCATGTGATTCTGTCCGTGTTCTACCATGTGGATCCATCTGATCTAAAGTCGCTAAATGGAAGTTTTGGTGATGCATTTGCAAAACACGAAAAAAGATTGGAGTCGAAGTCCAATGAAGAAAAAGAGAAGGGAATGGACAAGATAAAGAGGTGGAAGGAAGCTTTGGGAGAAGTTGCAGGTTTGTCAGCACATGTTTTAGGAGAGGATGAGTAAGCTCCTTTCTTTGACGTCATTTGGTTCAAGTACTCAATTCATTAACTACATGTCTTTAGATACTTATATTACTGTCCCTCCATTTTATTTTTAAATTATAGTATTTAAAACAGGATGCAAGTTTCAACTATCCCAAAACTTTACTAACGCTTAGTAATTATATTTAGCCCTTTTAGAATTTTTTATTCTGAAAAATTGAAGTTCAAAAGCTTAATTTATAATTTTCTTACAAATTAGAATTTAGCTACCTGAAAGTTTATAGGTTTCTTTCTTCCAAGATTGTTTTCTCTCAATCCTCGAGTCTTTACAACTAGAATTTTTGGGTAATCCTAATTATTTATATTAACCTATTTATTGGAATGTGAAGAACAGAGCACTCCACTGTACATACAATAACACCATTACATACTATCATATGATATATCGGCTTTATAAATTTAAATTTTGAAACATAGTTTGAGTGAATTTGAATTTAGTCTTGCAATGTTTCATATTCATTTTGACATTGACAATTTTTGAAGTATAATTAAGAACCACTCTTTTTGTAAGCCTAGAAGGTTAGTTAGCCATCAAAAGGAGGTCCAAGATTGGAGAAGCAGCTGGCCTAATAAACTAAAAGGATCAGGGTGGGCCTGGGCTTCAGGTTTTGATATTAGGCCTGGCTCAATTATTAGCCCAACTTAATTGGTGCCAGTTTTGGGTCTATTATAGCTCCTTAGCCCATGAATTAAAAGACGAGAGATGGAAAGAGTTTGGAATCCCAACTTCCAAAAGCCCATTTGGCCATTGTCAAATGGCTCGTGCTCTTTTGGAGGTTGCCAAACAGTCCAATTTACATGGCCAAAAGCTTTTCTTTTCTTTTCTTTTCTTTTTTAATTATTATTATTATTTTTTAATTTATTATTACTTAATATATGTTTCTTAATATCAAGAGATGTGATTGGTTTGTAAAAACTAAAAATTAAATTGTCTTCTCTTATTTGAAGTGCTCTAATTCTACTCATTAAGTCTCAAAGATGATGTGGGCTTGACAACATTTGATGATGTGCTTTTATAAGCTATAATTAGGACACCATATGTCCTCAAAACCTTTTTCTTTATAGTAAATATAACTTGTATCTGTAATTCTTGTCATTTTATAAAGTTGATTTAATAAGTATAATGAATTTATAGTAGTATAACTATATGCTTTAGTATGTAAGTATAACAATGCTAATTCATCGTTTTCATGTATTTATATATATGTTATAATTAACAATTCAACATATTTGGTTATATAGGTAGACATTTAAGTAGCTAAATATATATATATATATATATATATATATATATATATATATAAATTTATTTATCTTGGATTACACACAATGAAGGATCGTTAACCGGCAGGCCATACACACACACACACACACATACACAAATAAATAAAAATTTGTAGCCCCCATGTCAGCCAAACTGAGCTTATTGCAAGCCTGAGTGTAGCCAACTTCAAGCCCAATAGCCTAATTTTCCTTCAACCAGGTGCCTGCGTGGTAGTGGTTTGCAATTTAAATTTTTTTATTTTATTTTAAATTTTTATTTTTTTTCTCCTAAATGATCTATTGAATAGTCAAAGATGAGTACACTCCAGTCATTAGCCTCAAAATGTTAACAGCTTGGTGTAGGTGAAAAATAGGACTAATTCCTAATTAATTTTATAAAGAGACTAATGCAAAATGTATACAAAATTTTGTGACTTTAAGCCAAAGACAAAATGTACTCAGTAGAATAAGGGGCATCAATAATTTCAACTTTGGTTGTTTTAAATGAAATAAAAGCTCTTTGAAAGAACAAAAATAAAATTAAAGAAAGAGCCCAAAAATGGACGAATTTTTAAGAATGGAAATACCATTAGGATTGTGAACCATTAAAAACCCTTATCATGAAATCGCTTTCACTATTAAGTTGGATTTCATTCAGGAAAAAAGATCAAGTTGGATTTGAGATTTTGCGAACATTTTTGCATTTTGTGACAATTTTCTTTCTTTCATACATTTTTAACATATTATTGAATTGTGTAATTATATCTGCATTGTGGTGACCACACTAAAAGCGTGAAATTTACGTTATTGTGTTTGCATTTTCATTTAACTTATTGATTCATTTCAACTTACGACGTGTTTGCTTTCTCTTTTTTCTATTTCCATTGGAACTTGTAGATACGAGACAGATTTTATTCAAAAAATCATTGAAGATATTGGAAACAAATTGAATAACAAAGTCTTATGTGTTTGTCAGTACCCAGTTGGAATGGATTCTCGTATAAAAGACATTAATTTGTGGTTACAAGATGGATCAAGCAAAGTTGTCATAATGACAATCTATGGGATGGGGGGCATAGGGAAGACGGCCATTGCCAAAACTTTGTATAATCTAAACTTTGACAAATTTGAAGGTAGCAGTTTTCTTGCAAATATAAGAGAAACATCAAAAGAGCCCAAAGGTTTGGTCAGTTTACAAAAACAACTTCTTTCAGATATTTTAAAGGGAAGAAAGGTAAAAATTAGCAATGTTGATAGAGGAAGTGTAATGATCAAAGATCATATTTGCTTGAAAAGAGTTCTACTTGTTCTTGATGATGTGGATCAATTAGATCAATTAAATGCAATGCTCTCAACAAGGGATTGGATTAAAAGAGGAAGTAAAATTATCATAACAAGTAGACATAAGCAATTACTGAAGGCACATGAATTGTATGAGACTCACTGTGTTGAGCAATTAGGGAATGATGAATCGTTACAGCTGTTCAGTTGGCATGCCTTTGAACAAGACCATCCCGTCGAAGCTTACATGGAACAATCAATAAAGGTAGTGAAGTATTGCGGAGGGCTTCCTTTAGCTCTTGAAGTTTTGGGTACTTCTCTATCTGGAAGAAGTGTAGATTTGTGGGAAAGTGCAGTAAAGAAATTGGAAGGAATTCCTAATAAAAAGATCATAGAAAAGCTCAAAATTAGCTTTGATTCTTTAGAAGACGATCACGACAAAAATTTATTCCTCGACATTGCTTGTTTTTTTGTCGGAAAGAACCAAGATTTTGTAATTACAGTACTCGATGGTTGTGAGTACAGCACAAAATTTGGGATTGACAACCTCATTAAAAGATGTCTGTTAAATATATACAACAAGAAGCTGACAATACCTCAGTTGCTACAAGACATGGGAAGAGAAATAATACGCCAAGAATCACCAAAGGAGCAATGGAAACGCAGCAGACTGTGGCATCACGAGGATGCCTTAAATGTATTGAGAGAAAAAACTGTAAGAACTATGCCTTTTGAGTCTATATGCATTTTTTGGTTGCATGGTATGCTTGCTTAGTGAGTCCTCTTTACCAGGGAACAGAAGCCATTGAAGGTCTCATCCTCAACTTGCATGGAAGCAAATCATTGGAGCGGCACAGACTAACTTCCACTTTGACAGAGTCATCTTCCACACCAAATGAAGAAGACTTGCAAACTGATGCATTTTCAACGATGCACGCTCTAAGACTGCTCCAGCTCAATAATGCAAGGCTCGCTGGAAACTACGAAAAATTTCCTAAGAAGTTGATATGGTTGTGTTGGCGTGGGTTCTCTTTGGAAATTATACCCATCGAGTTTCCTCTAGAGAGCTTAGTTGTTCTTGAGATGACATATAGCAGCTTGAAACAAGTTTGTGAGGAAACAAAGGTATGACATTAAATTCTCTTTAATCTCTCTCTCTCTTTTATTTGGAGATTCATATGACTATTCATATAGAGTAGCTAATTTTCTCCACCCCGCCTTGCCTCAGAAATGGACTCAACTTACACACATATATACACATTAAATTGATATGAAAATTCCTAGAAATTGAATTCACTATGTGCTTATACACATCTACACATGCATGTATACACTTCTTCAGCACAAAACCGTACAAAATAATCAACAGAAGTCAACACTAATCATGTTAAAACATCATCTTTATCACAAAGAATACAAACAAAAAAAAGAAAGAAAGAAAGAAAGAAAGAAAGAAATTGGAAGAAACCGAAAACCTAGGTTGCAAGATCTAAACCAAAATGAATTTTTTTAGTAAACTAACCTTACAAACCACTGACTACGGGAGATATTCACAACATGAAACCGAGCAAAAATTTCTCAGATTCAAGAACAAAACTAACCTGGAGGTTGAATCCAAAAGCATTATCGAATCGATCTTCATCAAAGAGAGAGAGAGAGGAGATGGAGTGAGAGACAACATAGATGGGGGTTTGAATACAGTAATTAAGAATGCTAGAAAGTCTTCTTAGGATCATTTGATGAGAGATGGAGAGAGAGAATAAACAGAAATGGAGATCTGAGAGGGAGAGCTGAGTGAGAAAGAGGTGTGTAAGGTAAGTAAATTATGGTTAAGGATATTTTGCACAGATAATAAAATATTAGGGGTAACCTTCTCCCATACCCGCCCAATTCCAATTACACCCTCCCCAAAACCGCCCCAATAGGGGCGGGTACCCTCTGGAGCGGGGTAAATTGCCACCCTTATTTATGCTCCAATCACTTGGATTAGAGAATTGCACAAGACTTTGATCACTTCCGGAACTTCCAAAGAGTTTAATGAGTATTCGTTTAAAAGATTGCAGATCATTGGATATGTTAACAAATCTGCCAAACCTGTCATGTTCACTTTACATGGATGTAGATGGATGTTGTTGAAATATCTTACTTATTATTGTTTTATTTATTTTATTTGTTGTTTTTAGCCTTTTATGTAAGATCCCCATAATCATGGGATCACGTAGATTTTGGCATCTTTCCTGTTTTCTTTGTTTTGGTTTCCTTTTTTGGTACTCTATTCTTATATATAAATATAGCTGTTGGCTCTCAGTTTGAGTAAGCCAAAACCCAAAACTTCTTTTTGGTATCAGAGTAAAACAAAAACCTTCGCATCCTCATCTTCCTTCCCTAACGCTGCCACCTTCTCTTTCCTCTTTCCTTCACCTCTGGCGCACCTCCCTCTCCTCCCAGCCTTTGTTTTTGACCACTTTTTAGGGGAATTCCCTCAGGTTTTTTTATGACCTAAGGGCCTTTCTGTTTATTATTATTATTTTTTTACCTTATGGGCTGCCGGTGTTTGTTCGGCAGCATATTTAGACGAAAGCGCCAATTTTTCCGGCCTTGTTTTTCTCTTTCCTCCCTCTTTGAGGTGTGGACCAGCCTTGTTTTGGTACTATAGGTGATTCTGGTAGCCAAAATGATACTTTATTCTCGGTGCAGAATACTTTATCTTCGGCACAGCATGCTCCGGCGCAACGGGTTACTAGTGTGCAATGGGCGCAACTTCGTATCTTGGTCCCATTCTCTTCAACTCTATATTGGAGGGAAAGGGAAAATTGGTTGGCTTTTGGGTCTAGTCGAGGAACTGGAAAAGACGGATACTAAATATATTGCATGGGACATGGACAGATGCACCATTCTAGGTTGGATCGTCAACTCAATGGAGGAGCGTATCTATAATATGTTTCTGTTTCATGTTTTCGTTTCTCATCTGTGGCAAGCGCTTAACAAGATGTATGCCCACTCCCGTAATGTCGCTCTTATCTTTTGATCTTTATCATGAAATTACTCATGCATCTCAGGAGACACTCAAGTAGTCAGTATCAGAGTATTTTGGGTACCTCCTGTCTAGGTGGGAAGAATTAGCATAGTATGAACCTCTCTCCGATTTATCTGAAGAAGTTGCAACTCTTTTGGTTAAGAGACTGGGATCGCAGCATACCTACCAGTTTTTTTATGGGTCTACGATCTAAGTATGATGCGTTTAGAACTCATATCATAAACACCTCTTCTATGCCTGATTTATATGATGCTTTTGCTATTATTGACCACGAGGAGCATAGACGCCCATATCTCTCAGCAAGTAGCTTTACCAGAGATTTCAGTTCATCAAATGGCTCTTGTTGCTTGTTCTAGACTTTCAGAAGGTAAGGTTTTTTGTCAATATTGTTGAGCCACGATTCATGTAAAGAATCACTACTTTAAGCTTCATCGTGAGCTAAAGTAGAAATTTTCTTGCAATCGTCCTTGGTCGTGGCTGACTGCCGCAATAGCCAATATTATTGGTGGGTATCATACTCCACAAATTGTTGCTCCTTCAACTCCAATGGTATCAATTCCTCTAACCATCTTTTTAGGACTTCAGACAATTACAGTCCCAGATTGGTCAACTTCAGGAGCAGTTCGGAGCTTTATCTACTAAGACTGGCTCTTCTATTCCTCCTTCTGCTTTTCATGTTAAACAAAGAGGGGCTGAAATCTTGTAATATCTGATTTTACACATAGTGAAAACTTTCGCCGGATCCTAACCGTGGAAGTAGGCTATTGCCGAACCACGTATAAATTTTTGTGTTCTTTGTGTGGTGTGTTTATTTTTCTGTCGTGATTCTTGGTTCAACTTGGGTTTGTTGTGTTTGTCATAACAGTTTCAATATGAGATTTGTGAGCTTTCTAAACATACTAGAATTAGTTATATTTCTCATATGCATCGTGCACCTAGTATATTTGATCTTATACATTTTGATGTATGAGGTCCTCCTGATAATGCTTTTTCAGGGTATCATTATTATGTCACGTTCATTGATGATTATTCCTGCATCACATGGGTATATTTACTTAAAAAGAAATTTGAAGTTTTGCCATTGTTCACTCAATTCCTCCGAATTATCAAAACTCAATATAAAACTGTTGTTCGGAATATTAGGTCTGACAATGGTCGTTGTTATGACAAACGCAACGAACCCAATATAAAATCAAGAATCATGACAGAAAAATAAACACACCACACAAAGAACACAAAGATTTATATGTGGTTTAGCAACACCCTACGTCCACGGTTGAGATCCGGCGAAAGTCTTTACTATGTGTAAAATTGGAGTTTACAAGTTTTCAGCCCTTTACTCTGTTTATGTACGAATTTTTGAGTCTCTCGCTTCCACCACTCCAAACCCTAAGCGCCCTTATATATCGGGTTACAAGAGACTAATTAGGGTCTATGACCCATGAGTAAAAAAGGGGTTGTTGGGTCATAAGTGGGTCACCTTCCCGACACCAAATTCGGGCCACAACATCACAGTCGTGAATATATTTCCAATGAGTTTGGGTCTCAACTTAACCAACATGTTATTCTTCATCAGCTTACTTATCCACATACCTCTGAACAGAATGGTATGGCAGAGCGTAAAAACCGCCAACTAATATTAGTTGTTCGATGCCTCTTAAGTAGTATGAATGTGCCAAAGTCATACTCGCATTGGCACATGGCAGTTCTTACGGCTACTTTTCTCATTAATCATACCCCTTGTCCATCCCAATTTAAGTATCGCTTATGGGGAGTAGTAATTTTTAAGGGGACATGTGGGACATGTATTGTCTTCCTGGAAAGTTACTAACTTGCCCTTTTAAGTTTTGAAAATTTAAACTCAAAGGACGTATATGGAAAGATGTGAAATATATTGTTTGAAAAAGGAAAGTGGACTATTATTTTGGGACAGACAAAAAAGGAAAGCATGACACTTATTTTGGGATAGTGGGAGTAAATGGTATGACCCCTTTACAAGTGTTTCAGCCTGATATTACTCTTTTCTCGATCATGCCTCGGGTGTTTGGATATATATATTTTATTCAGAATCGTGGCCCTTATCATACTAAACTTGATGACAAGGCCATGTAATGTATCTTTTTAGGACATTCTTCTATGTCAAAAGGTTACCGGTGTTGTGATCATATGCACAAACATATCTATCACTCTCTTGATGTCACCTTTCACGAGCATACCCCTTTTTAGATTCTATTGATATGCTCGAGTTTTCTTCTTGAAGTGTGTAATAATATTTTTGCTCTTCTTCTTTGTCATGCGCTCTTTTTTGGAGGTTGCTAGATTGCCTCGTTTGTTCCAAGGTGGATCTGCTAGATCTGCAAATCCGTATCGAGGCCCATCGATTTTCTTGGTTGATGATTCGGTTCGAAGAAGAAGAGATGATCTTCGGTCGTGTCTGGTTGGGAAATTTGATAACGAAGTGGGTGATGGGGCTCAGATCGCAGCTTGGGCCTCGCGTATTTGGAAGGTCTCCTCAGGTGTGACGGTCTCGTCTCTGCCGGATTCCTTTTTGCTTTTCCGGTTTCCCTCCTCGACGGAAGCCTATCATGTTCTCAAAGGGGGTCGTTGTGACTGGGGAACGGCATCTCTTTGTTTGGAGGCTTGGAGCTTTAGGGTAGGGTGCTCGGAAGAGTTGAAAGAGAAGGGGCTGAAGAAGGTAACGCTGTACGGTCTTCCTCTCCACCTTTGGAGTCATGCTCTGTTCGTGATAGTCGGCGATCTTTGTGGTGGGTTTATTTGGGTGGATGCTGATGAAGCTTTGGATGGTGAACGAGTCCGTATCACCGTCTCTGTTAGTCGGGTTTGCCCTCCGTTTGTGTTCATTCATGATGATCAGTTTTGCTATAAGGTGTTTATTTGGGAGGAGAAGCCTCCCGAGCTTGTCCCAACAACAGATAGCTTGGAAGGCGATGATGGTTCGCATTTGCTTAAGGATAAAGAATGGTTGCGGTGGGAATCCATGGGGAAAAAAGGAATGGTAGAGTTCCAGATGTGGAAAGAATGGAGAGATGCGCTTTGGATTCGTAATTCGGAATGCTTTAAACGGATT